TGTTTTCTAAATGCATCTTCCTACATGTATCTTTGTTTTTTAAACTTAAATCTAAGCAGTTATATCTTGCTTAACTTTAAAAATAGCTTAATCTTTTTTACATGGTGAAAAGCAAAATAAAGCTTTATAGTAATTTAATTGCAAATTTGACCCAACAGATAGGAAGGAAATAAGACATTTTAATGGAAAATAAAAGGTAATTGATAACTTGGTTGCAGTTTCTGTTTGGAGAGGTAATTCATTGGAGGCAGGAGGCCAAGAAGGATAACAAAAAGCGCTTTTCTAAATGACTTCATTGTCTTGATTTAGTTTGGCTTCACTGAGCCTTACCTCATATTTCATTACAGGCATCCACCACATCAGAACGATGTCCTACGTTTTTGTAAATGATTCTTCTCAGACTAACGTGCCCTTGCTGCAAGCCTGCATCGACGGGGACTTTAACTATTCCAAGCGGCTTCTGGAAAGTGGCTTTGACCCCAACATTCGTGACAGCAGGGGCAGAACAGGCCTTCACCTTGCTGCAGCCCGTGGGAACGTAGACATCTGCCAGTTGTTGCATAAATTTGGTGCGGATCTTCTGGCCACAGATTATCAAGGGAACACAGCTCTTCATCTCTGTGGTCATGTGGATACTATTCAATTCTTAGTTTCCAATGGACTCAAAATTGATATTTGGTAAGTTCTCTGTGGTTTTTGAAGTCGAGTCATTTCTTCCCATGAATCTCCACCCAGTGGGCTAATCTTGGAGTCTGTTGATTTTGTTTCCTCATTGATCAACTGTAGGGATACATTCAGAAGGCCATTGAGAACAATGGAGTCTTGTTAGGGGAATGAGGGAACAAGGGGTTGACTTTTAGATTTATGCTGAAGCAGTATACGTTCTTCTAGGAAAATAGTGGCTAGGTTCTGCTATTAATGGTGTATTGTAAGACAAGAGAAAAAGAACTAAAATTTGTTGAAAATCTATTATGGGCTGGGCACTCTGTTTACTTATATTATCTCAAAATGAATAGCTCTTGTAGTAGGTATTATCTTCATTTGACAGATAAAATAGTTGTGACAAGAAAGGCTAAATGACTTGACAAAGGTCACATAGCTAGAATTTGAACCTAGTTCCACCTGATTCCAAAACTTGTTTGCCTTCTATCCTATAATATTCTATGCCAGCTTCATAATCTCTGTGAGGCTCAGAGTCCTTTTTATACTGAACCATTTGAATAAGTGGTTCTCTTTATTTGTTTTAGAGATACTTTCTTTCGTGGGAAAGATGTCAGGCCACCTTTAAAGCTGAGCTTGGCCTTTAAACCACAGTTACATGTTGCCCTAATTTATTGGTGCTTTAATGTCCCTAAATATGAATAAGACAGTAAGTGGTTCTGCTACTATAAAGACAGTATGTGGTGGGAATTGACTACAGGATTCAGTTATTCAGGCTCTTCCTGTTGTTAGTGTTAAATAGCTTGGTAAACCAAAGCATTTTATTTTGGTTGCTTTTGGGATTTTTTTTTAAATTCTTAGACTTAAATATATATATATATACACACACACACATATACATATA